GAAGAAAGGAAATGAAAGGGAAAACAGGCAACCCCAATGGGGGAAAAGCGTGGAAATGAACAGGGAAGTGGAAACGGGAAGTGAGAGAGGAAAGACGGTCTGGATTCTCGCGTTCAAGCCCCAAGAAAAGTCACACCCTTCCCCATACCCTACATACTCTCTCCTTCTCTTTCTTCTCTGAATGAACCATGACAAAGAAATCAATAGATCAAATGCAATTCTCTCAGACAATTAGAATGCTGATTTCTATAGCTATGTATACCCTATTCTATCAATCCTTAACGCCAAGACACGCAATGGTATTATTAAAGTACTAGACAAATGGCCGTTCCGAGGATCCAACCCAGAATGCATTGTACAAATGCGAAGAAAGCTGTGAACATTTTGCCCGCCTTTCATGGCGCAAATGCCTTCATTTGAAATTGGATGCCAAAAATAGTTATTTTGATGTTTGTATTTTCTCGGTTTATCGCTCAACGTTGGGGGCAACCTCACGTCTCCAACGACTGGTGGATCACACTCGTTCGGTATGTCTCACTCCGCTGGATCAACTCCTGATGCGTGCCCTGCTCCACACAACGACCCTCTTCAATCAAGAAAATCTGGTCGGCCCGATGAATCGTGTTGAGCCGGTGAGCAATTGCGACGATCGTGGTCCGTCCGGCCAGTGTAGCCAGTGCTTCCTGAATCCGCTTCTCAGATTCAACATCCAGTGCACTTGTCGACTCATCCAACAGCAACATGCGTGGCTTCCGCACCAATGCACGTGCAATAGAGAGCCGTTGACGCTGGCCACCAGAAAATTGCTTGCCATCTTGGCTGCACATGGTCTGGTATCCTTCGGGCAACCCCATGATCACGTCGTGAATGTTGGCCATGCGGCAGGCCTGTTCGATCTCCTCCTGGGTTGGTTCATGTCCGGGGCAAGCTCCGAGCCCGATGTTGAAGGCCACTGTACCTTCGAAAAGCACGTTCTCTTGAGGCACCAAAGCGATATCGTCACGGAATTCCGTCCCCAACTGACGCGTGACATCCACGCCGTCAATGATAACTGATCCAGATGTAGGCCGGTAGAATCGCTCCAACATGGAGAAGGTTGTGGACTTTCCAGACCCACTAGGCCCAACCAATGCACAAAACTGTCCCGGCCTGATGTTGATATCGAGCCCCCTCAAGATAGGCCGTTCGGGTCGATTCGGATAGGTGAAATGAACCCCCCGAAGTTGAGCCCCGATAGCACTGTCAGACGTCCGCTTGCGTGGACCACGGGGAGAGTCCACAGCTTCAACATCCTGCATTGCTGCCTTCTCCTCTAGGAGGCTGCTGGAGGCCTTGAAGTTGTAAGATGATCCGGGGGTGAGCTCCTCCTCTGCGGACCGAGTAGTGAGCAGCTCGACGATGTTGGATGATGCAACTCGAGCCTTGGAAATGTCCGGTGCCAACGCAAACATCTGGCCACAAGACTGGGTGCTAAATAACAAGGCCGGTAGAACAATGAAGAACTGGGTCTGGGAATAGAGGCCGGCGGCGATCTGCTTTGAACCCCACCAGTATGCGAGCGCATAGACCAGGTTACTAATACTGAACGCTAATGCCAGCCAAACATTACCGTGGACGATTGCTTTCATGGTGTTCCGGTAAGGCTGTATTAATGCCCGGCCAAACACTTCGTACGATTGCTTTTCCAAGGAGAATGCAGACACCGCACGAATATTATCAACGGCTTCCACAGTAATCGCCGTGGCTTTAGCGAAAGCCTTTTGGTGCCGTTCGGCGAACTTGGCCTGAACCCGAAGCTTCATCATACCGGCAACCAAAAGCACGGGAATAGTAGGGAACAAAACGATCGTGATTTTCCAAGCGATTGCAAAGGAGATCACCAGACCAGCCACCAGGTTCACCGCGGTGGCCAAGAGAAGACCGATTGTCGAGCCGGTGATTCCACTGAGAGCAGAGGCGTCACCAGTGATATATGTGATTAGTGTTCCCGGTGATCGATCATCCATACCGTGCCATTGCATCGTCTGGCCTAGGAGAGACCGCAGGGAAAGTACCCGGATGCGATATAAAATCTTATCGGCTGCCCAGCCGAAAACAGCGCCACCGACCACATTGGCGGTGAGTTCGACGAGGGCAAGGATGAAGAAAAGCAAACCGTAAAGGTTACCGCTGTGGCTGATAGCATCCGCACCATTGCAAGGGTTCAGACTTCCTACGGTATGACCGAAAACGATTGCTTCGGCGGAGTATGAACCACCGATAATGCAAGACATGACCAGTCCGATTAAGATCAATGGCAAGTTCGGTCGCATGAGAGAGAAAGTGTACTTGGTAGTAAACCACCCAGATCGCTTCTTTTTCTTGTCTTTTTCACTGCCATCTTTGGACCCAGGCGGCGTCTCAGCTACAACTGTGTCCTCCGTAACGTCTGATCCGCCTGTACCAACAAGACCACCCTCCTTCTCGTCAACGGCCTGAACGCTTCCTGAAGTGGAGTAATTTCCGCGGGGTGCATCGCTGATTGCATCTTCCGAAATCACAGCATCTTCGGCACTCAGCTTTCCGAGATTCTGAAGACGCACCATCTCCGCATAGACGCCACCATGCGCGACAAGTGCCGAGTGGGAACCTTCCTCGGTAACCCGGCCACTCTGGACCACCACAATCTTATGAGCGTCCTTGGCAGTCGCTAGCCGGTGTGCAATGGACACAGTGGTGACATGTTCGGATACTTTAGCCAACGCCGCCTGTATCAATTGCTCACTGGTGGAATCAAGCGCGGCCGTCGCTTCGTCCAGAATCAGCAGTGTCGGCTCTCGCACCAAAGCGCGAGCCAGTGCAATCCGTTGTTTCTGACCTCCACTCAGCTGATTACCCGCCGTCCCGACACTGGTTGAGAGTCCGTGAGGCAGGCCTTCAATAAAGTTCAACGCGTTGGATGTAGCAGCGGCCTTTTTTACGAGATCGACGATCTCGACTACGCGACTGTCGCAAGCAGACAGGGCATCTTTTTCGGTCACTCCGCCCCTAATCTTCTCCGCGAGTTCCGGTAGGCTCGCATCCATGATAAAAGGTGCCAGTTCCTGATGCCTAGCATGTGCCGAAGAAACAAGACCGTATGCAATGTTCTCAAGGATCGAACGGTCCAGTAAAGATGGTTCTTGCTGAACGAAACCGATATTTCCACGCAAGTAGCGGACATTGATATCTTGGAATTTAGTCCCACCAATGGCCACATACCCGGATTTCGGATCATAAAACCTCTCCAAAAGAGAGACAACCGTCGATTTTCCACCACCGGAGGGTCCAACAATGGCTGTATGCTTCTTGGGTGGGATGACGAAGCTCATGCCCTGCAGTACGGGAACATCCGGACGTGATGGGTACGTGAAGTGGACATCATGAAACTCGATATCCTCCTCACCGAAAGGCGCCGACTTATCGCCCTCGTCCGACGTTCCATCAATAGCAGACTTCCGGTTGATGACCGCCAGAAGTCTTTCCGAAGCACCAGCTGCGGAAGCAAAAACATGGATAAAGGGGGCGACCTGACTCAGAATAAAAGAAGCATCGATGAGGACGAAAATTACTGTGTACACAGCGCCCACAGATACGCCTGAGTTTTCATTGGCCACGGAGTGAGCGATCATCTGGGCACCTTCCCAGAAAGCCAGGGCGTTGGCGGAGTAAGCAACGAAGTAAAGGAAACCAAGCTGCGCAGCATGTGTGCAGGCTTTCTTCAAGGCGTCCATGTGAGACGCTGAGAGATACGAAGCGAATCGCATCTCCAGGCGATCGTTTGCATTGAACGCATGGACTAATGTCAAGTGCGACAAGCTGGATGAGGCGATGGATGTCGCTGAGCCTATGTTTTCAGTTATACGGCCGGCAAACTTCTTGATATAGTGGCCCCCAAGCAATGACATGACCATGAAGCAAGGAACCACCGAGATGAGCATTCCCGCGATTTTTGGCACTTTGATGAACGCCACGATATAGGCAGCCACGAAGTATGAGATAGTCGTGATAACCAGACCTACCTTCTCCGAGGTTCCTGACTGGATGACCTCAACATCGCTGACCAGGCGCGAGATGATGTCACCAGAGGGAAGAGTCTCAATGAAGTTTGCCTCCTGCTTGATTATACTCTCGAAATACCTCCTACGATAACGGCGCGCGAGTCGTTCGCTCACTGTGCACCAGCATGACGTGTGAATGTAGATGAAACAAAAATTCGCGATAGTGATGTATATCACATACAGCACCTTCTTGGTCACACTGTCCGAAAGCTCGGTTGTGGCGTCCGTTGAAGCCGAACAAGTAACTGTGTTGAGGTCGTTGATCAAATCACCAAAGACAATGCCGAGCAATGGGAAAGGAACTCCACCGGCAATAGCAAATATTGTACCACAGATTATAAGGAACACATCTGCTATGGTGTAGTCGAGCGAAAAGAGCAGGTGAATGTATGCAAAGCACTTCCTAAGGTCCTCCTTGGTCGGTGTGTATTTTTTTACGGCTTGCATCTGGTACAAAAGCTATATCAGCAACCGCCAGATTTCTCACAAGGCTACCCTGCAAAACATAGTCAAAACAACCAGGACAGCAACATACAAAGCCATTGCTGGTATCATTAGGACTCTTTTGTCCATTTTCGACATTCTCGGTCTGTGACATGGTGATAGGTGTTTAGGAAACCCCGCAAGTGAGAAATAGAGAAGTGGAACGGCGACAGCCTTTGCTGCGGGGTATTAGGATATACAAGATCCTATCAATCCCTCTCGTGCCCAGCGCACATTCAATGAGATGGGCAACAGCTTGTCTCGTGTTATTTCCGAGAGATGTTGGCAGTGCGGTCCTAGAATTTCGTAGCCGAGGAGCACTCAGGCAGTCAAACGACAAATCAAGTGAAAGATTCAATGCAGAGTGCACTTGATCTCCCCAGCTAGAACTCAAAACTCCCCACAATTGAGCAACCAGCAATAGTGGGAGAGTGAAATGGTTCACTCAGACAAACACCCCCAATAAGCATCCCCCGGGGGAAAGACGATGCTCGAGAACAGTGGACAGACACCGCGTACAAGTGACACCAGAAAACAAACAGGAAGGGTCAAGGAAGGAACAGAGAAGGAGAAACCAAGAAGAAGGGAGAAAAAAGAATTTAGCTAGGAAACCATGACACATACCCATGCCCTCAATGGATACGCTAGAGGCGAGGGGAGTTTAGCATTAGAACGGCTCCGGTTGCGGCGTCCAGATGCAAGACTGGGACTAACCATTGATTGACGCCATGGACAACAGCGGGAGACCAAGAGATTTTGCTCTACAAAAAGCGGAGTAGCCAAAGAGCGAAACAGATGGGAGAGCCAGAGGTTACGAACTTACGAGGGGCATGATCTTCTCCACTTGGCAGGGGAGCGAAGAGGGGCGGCCTCTGGTTAGTCTCTCTCAGTGGATATCCGATAGATTGATAAATTTTTTCTTCATTTTTTTCTGTCATTTCGTTTTTCCGCCCAGCAATGTGGGAAATGATCGACCACTTCAAGTGGGTTTTCAGGCAGTGTGAATTTTCTGATGCAGAAGCACGGCACGAACCGACTATTGGGCATCTTGTCCAGACCAGTGGGGCGAGCCCATTGGTAATGGTGTGGTTCCTAAAGCTGCCGAGGGTATCATCCTCAAGTAGGCATTCTTCTAGTTAGAAAAGGCGAGTCGGGACGGTACGGAGTACAGGGATACAAAAATTCAAGCAAAGAAAGAATAAAACTCGGTTGTGGAGGTCCTAGTCAAGTGGTATGCGCATCATCATAACAAAAGGATTCGATGCTTACTGCACAGTAATGATAACAGTGGCGATCCATTACAGTTCAACATAATACCCATTATGCAATGGAATCGGACAAATGTAACAAGACCTGCCGTGGGGTTTTTATTATGGAATAAAGTTATATGGTTGTTGCCAATAAGCAAGATGGGGGTCTGGGCGTGGGAGATTTCTCGGTTCGGAAATTCTCATCTGATAACTCTGTCGAAGAATCACCTGCAGTCTCGTCACCAATCACGGCCCGCGGGTCGTCACTTTTACTCGAGCCGAGGAAAAAGGACCCGATCGCAGCTTCAACTCGTCGTCTGCTTCTCCTTCCACCATCTTCTCTCTTTTTCCCCAAGTTTGTCCATTCTCAAACCCATCCCTTATGCGCCAATGATCGACCCATCCGGACTAATTTATGTTTCACAGCCTCACAAAATTAATCGCCCAGTCCCAACAGCCACACTAGATAATAATGTTATTACTTGATCGACTAGCCCCGTTCAAGGACCCAATTCTGGCCTAGAAACGACGAATTATAGACTCATGAAGTTTCCAAATTGGTTCATGATGGGCTTTTTTTTTCACCCGTCAGCACCCACCTTCTGGGTTTGGGAGATTTGGATATACGTAGTACTTGTATGTACTCGTCACACAAGGAACCTTTTTATTGATTTTATCTAATCTGATCGATCGATAACAACTTCACCCCTTAACAGTTTCAGACGGATTCCTTGGCATACCTCTACATGGAAGTGCCCCCCTTCCCTAACCCCCCTCAAAAAAAAAAATAAATAAATAAATAAAATAAATAAATAAATAAAGTAAATAAATAAAATAAAAAAATAAAAAAAATAGAATAAAACAAAATAAAATAAAAGACAAATTAAATTAATGTACATAGATCTACGCAGTACAACTCACAGCCCAACATGCCCAAATGGTAACGTGGTGGCAACTAATTTGAATGCAGGACAAAAAACCATATGCGAGGAAAGCCCAACCAAGGAAAAGAGGTGACTCAAATTTTAAAGTCAATAAAAGTGTCATTATGCGAATCAATTTTTATTCCCTCATTCCCGTGGTAGACACCTTTGGCTTGCGTCAACCAGCCGGATTCAGAAATAAAAAAAGGGGCATCCCAAATGCTGGATCTAATCAGATCGGCATCTAATCAGATTCGCAGATTTTACTTCATTGGATACCGCCGATGATCGGGCCTGTCCGGCTCTTCCGGCGTCACCTGTCGCTCCAGGATATACATCTTTCATCTATCATGATGAAAAGTACAAATAGCTGGAATGCTTCGGCTGTGGCAATTTCCCTTGAGAAATAGCCCCAGTACCTCCATGGCCGAGCTACCTAATCCTATCAAGAGCATTCTCTAGCATTGTGCCTGCGTATGCAAAAATTATCTAGAAAAAATGGCACTCAATTACAAAATAAAGAATGGGCCAAGACCTATCCCTTCGCTGTGTAACACGAATATGAGGTTTTTGGTGGCGTCCTGCGGGTGGCCAATATAGCTCCAAGGCTCTTCTTCAATGACGCTTATACCGTGTAACTGGGTCCAAACTTGTGTCATTTTCTAGTGGCCTCTATTGGTACGTCCAATGGGTATTCGTCCGCGAATACTCCTATCTCCAACAAGTCATCCAGAACCCGGTCCCCTTTTTACTAAATTCATTTGATAGGAGTGATCGCAAAGGGCTCGCACGGGTGAGGAGATTGAGAGTTGTTTTGGACAGTGTCCATCTTAGAGAAGTAGATGTTGTCAACGAAGAAAGTATACAGGTATGCCTAACTAACTAGATATCGAAGTAATATTGAGGAAGACGGAGACAACGCATTTTGGATGATTTACGACTCAATGAGTGATGGTAGAAGTTCGTGCTCATTGAGTGACTGAGGTTTAGGTTTAAGTTAGCCACAAGGGGTGTCTCTTAAATAGGAGAGGAGCCACCTTTAAGTTCCGTAGCTTAAGTATATTTTACATGTTGCTTTAAACCTATTAGGTATGAAGTGATGCATTAGCTGATTGGATGTAGCTAACCTTTAGACCACCTTGGTGTGGACATTGCCAGGGGCGCTCATTGATACTATATCATTGCATATTCATGGCATGCTGGGAGAATCTGCTGATATGTAGATAGGTTGTTGGTAAGCCCTGGGTATACCTTACAATGCTTGAATTGTACTACACTAGTAGTAGGTACACTAGTACTTCTTTATTGGTATCTTAATGATCTTAGTGGCTCCGCTTCCATCAAGCTCTCAGTATCTAGTATATGGTCTACTAGTACCAATGCTCTGTATCCTAAAAATAATCTTCCAATAACCCTAATCCAACGGGCCCAATTCTAATCATACAAAGGGGTATATAAGAAACCATTGAAAAGCCCAATTCAAAAACAACCAGAAACATATCAATACCCAATTTGCTTAACCAAAGCCTCCCCTTGCACCTCACCCTCGATATCAACATCAACATCAACATCAACCTCCACCGGCCCAAAAAACTCCTCAAAGGCGTTGACCAAAGCCTCTTCACTCAACTGCATATGCTTCCCAGGAACAGACCTGAAAATCAATCTCCCCTCCTCATCCAGCTTCTTTAACCCAATCCAATCCTCTCTATAAATATCCCTCTCCCTCACGCCGACAACATCTCCTGTCTCCTCATCCAGCTCCCCAAACCAGGCACTCTCCTTCGGATGCACCATCTGATCCTCTTCAAACATATACATCGCAAATGCATTCAAACGCCCCAAATTCTTCCGATACGTCTCATTCTTCTCCTCGCGCTCATTGTTCACATCGGCAAGGAAATTGCTACTGGCTAGGTACTCGTCCAGCTCGGTCGGATCGCGGAAATACTGTGCCGGGACGAACCGACCCTGCACGAAGGACGACCAACGTCCTGCCCGGAGGAGAGCCTCCGCACCGCGGCAGATCCAGTCGCCCCAGCCGCATTCTTGGAATTCGGCAATGCCGTTATGCTGGCTGCCGAAGGTGACGAGGTTGTGCACTGGCGGCGCATTGCAGCGTTCGATGTAGCCACGGAGGAACTGGCCACCTTGAGAGAACCCGAGGGCGTTAATTGCCGGGGCCGTGCTGAGGATGCGGTCGGAGGCGAGCTGGGCGCAGACGGTGTCGATTTGCTCGCTGACGTTGCCGAGGAACGTGGCTTGGCGATCGCCGGAGGCGGTGTCTGAGAGATGTATGAGGTGGACATAGGTTCCTGGGTTGGTTTGTTCCGCGAGGGAGGCGACGGAGAGCAGGCCCTCGCGTTGGAAGTCGTCGCCTAGGCCATGCCAGATAACCAGTGGAAGGGGTGCGGATTCGGTGGTTTTAGGTTGGTGAAGTGGAATGGCAGCTGTGAGGAGAGGGATAGCTAGAAGAGTGAGTTTGTGCATTGTTCTGGTTTTGTTGTTATTGGGCGTAGTTTGCTGAGGTGTGAGGTTGAGACAGATTTGGTATAAATTAGAATTGGCTGCTGTTGTTGTACAGTGAGGCTGCGGTCACGAGTCCCGAACATGTGATCATGCAATCAATGTATGTTATAGATCGACACCATCACTGAAACTAAAAGTTAGGTTACATTGCTCTATCCGCAGTACTCAGTCTTGATCAAACCAGCCTACACGTATCAAGGATACTCATTCGTGTCTTCCATGTATATACACAAGTTGTCCTTAGAAGTAGGGTATCTTTCGGTTCTGAGGTTATCCTGTAAGCGATGGCGGCTACATATATACAAAGCATCACAATGTCATGGAATGATAAACCGTATATATTCACAGAAGCTAACTCAAACCACAGAAAGCACGCGAGACCTTTTGATGCAGGCAGAAAAAGCAAAGCTCGGGTGGGTAACCATAGAAAAGTCTATCAGATCATACGCCATTATCGAGGGAGATAAGTGAGATGGCAAAAGCAGGGCAAGATTCGGACAAAAGGAACCCGAGAATGTGATGCAGAGCAAAAAAGAGACTGTAATAATGGGAAAAAGGTATAAGACAAAACTGGATATGTGCAGGGTCAAGAGAACGGTAGAGAGGCTGCTTTGCAACCACAACAAATGAAAGGTAATGATGAAGGAAAGTCAAGTACACTAATACGACATCTATAGGTATGCCATCAGTAGGGAGGGCGGCCAAGCCCTCCACTCACGCCTCGTCGCCCTGTATTACTTCGGGCCTTCCGTCTGCTGCCCTTCGTCTCCGCATCCGCTGGCGACAAGAACCCTTCCAGTAGCTTTTGCACGTCAAGGCGAGCGCTATCAATATTCTCTGCATACGGCTCAACACCGTCAGTGGCAACCGCTGCCAAACCTGTGCTCGATCGACTTTTATCTCTGCTAAGAGACCGACCAGGCGACGTACCAGGCGTCCCTGCCTTTCCATTCGTGACAGATGGTCGGCGAGGTCCGGGAGCAGTTGAAGGACGACTAACCGAAACGGATCGCTGCTGACCATCTGAAAGACCTCCTTGAATAGATATAGTTGGAGGGATAGGCGGTACAGGCGGAATATCATCAGCATCTACCATGAAAGACAGAGCCGAGGCCCTGCGGGTTTCCTCTCCATCGAGAGAGATCTGCCCGCCTCTGACAGACTGGGGCTTGACCGAGGCACCATCTTCATACTCGGACAGTGAATAGCCACTAATCATACTGTCGCTACTGGAAGAGATAACACTTCGATTCGAGCCGTCAAGTCGACCCCTGAGCGGGCTCATTCGCCGAGCCTTGCCTTCTTCATTGACAGAGAGGACCCGTCTCAATTCATTCACGTGGACCGGAGATTCTCTACTAGTACTGATGAGTTGTGAGCCGGACGAGTTCGGCACACTCGTTCTTCGGCCATTCTGCAGGCCAGCTACAGATACGTAAGCACCTTGAGGCACGGATACGTTTGAACCTGCTGATGGAGAACTAGTCCCGTTCTGATGAACATGGTTGCGTATAACTAAGGTTCCGGTCCGCGATCCGCTCAGGGATTTGGCCTCTGCTCTTTCAGTTTCAGCAGCTGCCAGGCAGGCTTCTCTTGACCATGGAGATAGCATCTGCTCCCTGACCGCAGGAGGAAGGACGTAAGCCTTCGGTGTAGTTGCGGGCGCCGACATGTGCGGCAGTACAGGAGCTGTGATGCTTCGCGGTGGAGACCCGACAGACCCCGGAGAGCTTGGTGGGCTGTGAGTAAGTAACGTAATGAAGGAACCATAAGATGCTTCGATTCGCTGGATGAGTTCTTCACCGCCGTCAAACGGAATCAGGAGGCTCACGTCCTGAGCACCACGGCCACTAGCCTGGACACTGCTGCTGTGGACAATCTTGTCAAGGTTGACGGGCGGCAAACGGATTGTCTCAAGCCAAACACCGAGCTGTTGTCTTTTCTGAACTTCGCTCTGGATTCCGTTGCCAATCTTGGAGGTTTCCAAATCGAACTTCTCAGATAATGCCCACAGGTAGCCATAGACCAAGCTTCCAATATTCACCAGGGTAGGGAAGGGCTGGCCATCAGCGGTAGTCATATTGTCCTGAAGTTTCAGCACCATGGGGAGTCCAAATCTAACAGCGTTCACCCCAAGATGCTTCACCAGGCTTACTAATAGTAGATGAAGCAGCATAATCTCGGAAACAGACGTCGGGTGATCAGTCGCAAGGTCAAAGATAGTGAGATGAAGTAAGCGAAGGAAGTTGGACTGCGCGATGAGAATCACCTTTTCTCTCTGATTTCCGCTCATGCTGGCAGTGCGCTTTCCAGGCCGTTCAGTGGTGTCTGATAAGTCAGTCTTGACCGGTTGACTGGCCGGCCTGCCAGTTCTCTCCTTAACCTTAAGATCATCGGTAGATGTTTCCAGGTTCAGCCAGGTCAAAAAGGCATCGACGTATGCATAGCGAACATCCCTGTCGGGTTCACTCAAAAGCCACTGCGTACCTTCCCATACATACAGGCCCACCTGATGCCTGGATTCTGCGGTCAGTGTGACTCCTGGTCGCTTCGTGTTTGCAACAAGGAGAATATTCTTGATCGCTTTGAGAGCTGCTGTTTTTGCGCTGGGCAGGGTGAATGCTATTGGGCCACCCTCCCCAGACGAAACCATGCCATTGCCGCCTCCCAGGGCATCAGACTGTGTTGGGGACGAGGTTATTGCCTGCTCGTTGCCTCTTGAGGGTTTGAACCGAGTCAAAATCGTCCTGACCATGTCAACAACCTGCTCGCCATAGTAAATGTGCGTCGTGAGGTTGCCTATACAATCCTGCAGGAGTGAGACCACCTCTGCCCTTTTCGCTGAAAGCTCGAAAGGGGCTGAATGTCCGTTTTGCTTCTCGTCTGGTGTCGATTTGCCAGCCCTCGAGGGTGATATCAAGAACGACATATGACGCAAGAGACCCAGTAAGACATCAATAACGCTAAGTCCGATCATATTCACGGGGGATTTTAACAGCCGATCAATCAGATAGATGATGGCGTATGATTCGTCCAGAGACTCTTCTGCGGGAGGAATGTCGTGCAGAATATCCATAGCAGCCACCAAAATAATGAAGCGAACCTGAACAGGACACCATTTGGCGATCAGTTCAACCAACGACGTAGCCCAGCTGTCCTTGTAATTCTGACCTAGGTTATTACCACTTTTGCGCAGAATAAAGTCCAGCACAACCTGAGTCGTGACACGAATCTGGCCGCGGCTGCTCCCGTTGACGACAATCTGCTCCAGACACCGCAAAGCGAGCAACCTCATATCCATCTCCGCTTTTCGATCCACATCAGCGGTATTCTGAGCCGCCAATGACGCATCCCCCTCCACCGCGTCGACCGTTTCCACGGTGGCCGTGCTAACCCTGCGTCGGTGCGCAGTCTCTGATTCGTTCTTGTCCACTTCGAGGAGCTTCAATTCGAGAGAACCAACCAAATTGTCATCCGGGCTGTAGAGGTTCTCCAGAATGACCGGGAGAATGACCCGTATCGAATCTCCGCCATCCGCAGCCAAACCCGCTTCGGAACTAACCACACCTTTGATCGCTCTCAATCCCGCCGTCTTCCATCGAACCGTAACCGGAGGACCCGCGGCAAGCTTCGATTGCGTAGAAGAGTCGCTTTCCGCAAAACCCGCATACGACCGCACCACTTCTCGGTACTGTGTAGCAAAATCCTGTTCGGCAGATAGTGCCGCCATATCTTGATGTCGGCAGAAGGTCTCGAAGGTTTCAATGGAATCCTCGACCATGGAGATATCCTGCGAGCGTACGACCGTTTCGAGGACTGTCATGACCGACCGTGCGTAGATCGGCAAGTCACGGGGAACTTTCTCGATGAGCGCGCTCAAGATCTGAAGCGTAACCTGCACATTTCTAGAGGACGCAACCACAATGTCAGCTGACTTTCACCGAAATTTCCCGCAGACTATTTGCCAATTTCATTCATGACCTTTCGCTCGCCTTCCCCAGTGTAAACTCACCCTATCTTGCGGCGCCACACATCCCGAGCGGCTCTCTTCTCCAAGAAGGCGCCGACCTTTGTCAGCTTGCTGCGGCGGGTGCTCACATAGTAGAGCAGATAAGAGAGTTCACTTGAGTTCGGCTTGACCACCTGCACTCCTTTCTGGTACTGTGGATAGCATTTCAAGACCAGAACCTGATGTTTCGGTCTGCATTTCTGGCGTACACCCTCCATCGGCTAGGGTTCCCGGGGAGGCTATTCAATGTCCGTGTTTGGAGTTTTAGCGGTACAGGGCGTCAGGCGCGATTCCAGAAAGTGCCAGGGGTAGCGGCTGGGAGATACAGAATTTAGTGGGTCAGAAAAAAGAGTCTGGAACCGGACATGGAGTCGAGGTAATTGAATGGTTTAGTGTACGCGTCACGGACACAGGGATCGGTGGGAAAATGAAGTCCAGGGCAAGATAGTCAAGTCACCAAGGGGTGGGGTCTGTCCATCGGATATATTAGGTAGTAGTCGCCAGTTATGTCGTGGCGGGTGGTCTGTACCAGGAACGAATGGCAGGTAAGGAGTGACGCTGCGGTCTTACGGCAGTTCAAGTGTGCTCAAGGAGTGCGCGGCAGATGGATTACGCAGAAGGGGTTGTGCGTGTGGAGAGGGAAGAAAGAAAGGACGAAAGAAAGACAGAAGGATGGGAGTTTGTAACTAGTGACGGAGTTAAGAAAAGGAACCTGTCGGGAAAATCAGTCTGTTCCTCTCTGGCCCCGTGAGACTTGGCGATCGTCGTCGTTAAGGAGTTTATTATTACCAGGCTTACTGGTAGATTGTATTTATGGTGTCTGTCAAATATTTTTGCTCGTTCTATTTTATTTTCTAAGCAATTTTATATTAAATTTCATTCTTGTCTTTACAAAGGAAAACAAAAAATGAAGTAATGGCCCACGTCATAGCGAAATGGACTCGTATTTGTCTAGAAGTCGACAAGTGTACACAACAATTGGAACTTGAATATTCAATACAACTGAAATACTAAGAGCATCTAACATTCCAAGCAAAATCCATTCCCAATTCCATGCTACCGCCATCGGTCACAAGGCGCGCTCCCTGTATGCATGCATTCCCATAGTAGTTACTAGATAGTACATACAAGCAGGTGCTCTCCACATTTAGGGAAGATACCGAACGATAATCAAGCTACATCCCGAACTATGCAGCACAGACATAGCGAGTACCCCAAAAAGGACGTTATGACACCTCGCAGGGTACAAATAGCCGACATTGACGAACTATTCAAGGAAAAGCGGCCGTGCCTCGGTCACACATGACGCTCCGCGCCATCGCGAACCAAGCGGCATCAGTGCGTCCGCACTTCGATCGAAGCAACTTCGCGGGGAAGAAGCGAAAAGGGTTTGAGAAAACCCAATTCTTTTACCCTCCGATGTAGATCCCCTGACACTTCTCCGCCGCCCGCAACAATTTCCTTTTTAGGTTGCATCCGAGCAGACCGAGCGTGGAGACCGAGAGAAATGCCCGCGGCTCTTCTTTATATTCATCCCCTAAAGCCGAGCTCAGGTCTTTGAACTATTATTATTCCCCGCTTCATCCTGTTTCCCTTGTTCTTCCTTATCTTGTTCCCCCTCCTGTTCGATGGTTGCACCGCCTTCTTCGTTGCTAATGCCGGTCCCCGCTAGCCCTTCGATAACTTGGGGGCGAATGATATCCCGGCGGAATGTGTCTTCTTGGAGGAGTCGTAGCGCGCGGAGGGTAGCACCAGGATGAGTTAGGAATTGGGCATATTCAGGAGTTTTCCAGTATGAGTAGAGGTACGCAAGGTACGCGGCGAAGGCCTGGGCGTCAGGATCCGCAGCATCCTTGGTCGCGTCGCTTTCATCGCTGGCGTTGGAGATTCCTAACAGATGGGGGTATGTGACTGCGAGGTGCGAGAGATAGTATGGGTTAGCCAACGAGGAAACGAACTCGAGCTCGAGAGTAAAGCGTGGATTTGTGAGAGTCGGCGGTGGGGGTTGCTCAGGTTGACCGGTGGGTGGTTGTGGCTGGTCCATGGCGTAGGATCAATACGTTTATTGGAACGCTGAGCGGAGGTAATTATAAAGACAGCTGCAACAACTGTGGGCAATAGATTGGTTTATCGTGGGGAAGTCATGGAATAGTGAAGGGCAAAGGAAAAGGTACGGTCGGTAGGTTCGAATAGGTTGTGGTGGTTGTTGTTATTGGAGAGTTGGAGATCAAAGGTGATCACATTTCTGGTAGGCTAAGCTATGAAGGGAAAAGGGCGCGGTGTACGATATAAATATTGTTTCATCTTGACTTCACACTGACCCACTACTTTCTCCCCACTGTTCAGATTTGTGAAACTCAAGCTCAGACAGCATAATACAATACTTATAGGACATGATTAAATATTTTGCGAAATTGAGTATAGATGTTCCCTGCATAAGTTTACGTAAGTTTATAGTATAACTACCTGTACAAATTCCGATAAGTGGGAGAGCTCACTTTGATCTCTTCCTAGAGATATTTATATCCTCCATATTATTAATTCTCATCTCCTCCATTAATTGTGAAAATAATGTGAAGATAAACCAATGTGTATTAGATGCTCGATTTTGTCTGAGTTTAGCTGCTTCAAGATATATATGTCCTTGCATGCGGGCACGTGAGAGCGAGAGGGGTCTGAAGAGTATATATCAGGAAATTCACACTACAAGTCAACGAACGAGAATCGAGCCGTCACTTCACCCTTCAAGTTTGGACAACTAAAGTCACCGTCTACTATCCTTCAAACGTATGATGTATGAGCACCGGAGTCAAGCCCTGCTAGGTAGTCGAGGAACATTCTATAAAGGTAATCTCACTTCGGTACCTGAGTCGAGCCTTGGCTATGTCTCCTGATTCTTGTCGCAGCCCTAGGGCAACCAATACAATTTCTTCGCTTAATCTATCCTGAGAGTGAATCTCGTATCCCTGCAAAGGTTTCTCGCTATGACGGAGACCCTGAGAATAAATATTTAGTAACCAAATCTACTCGTTGTCCACCCTCCTCCCACCATGGCCAACGGAAGCGTGAACGATGAATGACACCATCCAAAGCCCCTCTCATCCGAACATAATCAAAGGAAACCATTCCATTATTTCCCCCAGGAATAGCCCACGTGCCCAGCCAGAACCTTGGCATGGTACTCCGTGCCAAGCCACAATTGGCTTGGCGGAGGACAAGGGCCGTCATCCAAGCTTCCCCATTGAACGCCCCCTTCTGCACGTGTAGATGATGGTGGATTCCGATTTGTCTACGGGATCCTAGCTAACGGTTCCCTGGTAGAATTCGCCAAGCACAAGGTACAAGGATTAGCAGCTTTCGAATGAGATTATCTCCCACGTAGACTTAGCCCGCATCATTCCACCCAGTCAGAGATGGATGACCCGTACACAGGAGATGAGATAGCCATGCGAGGGTGGTATCTGGTCGTCGCATTCCCTTGGCATTCCATGTTTTAAAAGGACGTGTATCTCCCGCCTGGGAATTGATCTTCCTCTGTCCTTCAGCTGCAGGCTTCGTGTTCTACTTCTGCCTCGAGATCACATCATCTGCATCACGATGAGGCTCGTCTCAATTGCAGGTGCGGCGATCTTCGCCTCCTGCGCTGTTGCCCAAACTTACCAGCGTTTGGGTGGCTGTCCAACCTTGGGCTGTGTTTTCCCTCCTGACCAGTATGCCTTTTATCCTTTGATAGTCGTGACTTCATGTCGGTGCAATTGGCGGCGGTAGAGCACTAGGGCTAATTATTGTACTCCTACTAGGGCGGATTTCCTCCCCGGACAGTACTTTGACATCCGCCTTGAAGTCCATTCGCCTGTCAATGGCTCTGAAGCTCGCCAGGGCCAGCCTGATCCGGACTTCAAATTCACTATCGCGAAGAAAGGTGAAGAGGGGGTTGCCGCGGCAGAATATTTCGAGATCGACGAGCCGGAACTTGAGAGATGGAACTTTACCTGGTATGAAGGTATGTTCTGAACCGCCCCGATGGATAAGAATATAGCATCGACTAAGTGGTGTAGACCTGTTCGCGAAGGATGCGCATAAGCCCTCTCTCGTCAATGTCACTGCCAAGGCATACAGAAGGGTCGCTCTCTACGAGCCTGGCGAGTACGAGGCGACGCTGACCTATTACGGCCAGGAAAAGACGGTTGCGAACTGGCTGGTGCGCGACCTCCCAGAGAAGCGACGGGCGAAGAACGTCGTTCTCTTCGTCGGAGATGGTATGACAACTAACATGATAACGGCCGCTCGTTTGATCGCTCACCGCAGCATTAATGGCAAGTACTTGACCAAGTTGCAATTGGACAAGTTCCCAGTCTTGGGCCACCAGATGACCCACTCGATGGACTCCTTCATCACGGACTCGGCCAATTCGGCCACGGCACTTTATACGGGCCACAAGACCACAGTGAACGCTCTGAATGTCTATGTGGACTCGTCGAAAGATCCTTTCGATGACCCGAAATTCGAGACCATTTCCGAGATCTTCCGCCGCCGGTACCCCGATGCTGGTATTGGAATAGTCTCGACCGCTTTCCTGGCTGACGCCACCCCTGCTGCCTTGGCTGCTCATACTCGGGACCGTGGCGAGTATGACCACGTTATCAGCGCCTATTTTGAAGGGCTGACCAAGTATGAATGGACGAACTGGGACGGTCCGGACGTCCTCCTCGGCGCCGGTGCGGAGAACTTCCTTACCAGCGAAGACGCGCCTCGGGATTACTACAAACTGTTCTCCGAGAAGGAATATAGTATTAGCTGGAACAAGACCGCTCTGCAGGCTGCCCCGAATGACACCAAGACCCTGGGTGTTTTCTCCACATCCAACCTGGCTACTTGGCTCGATCGCAACGTCTACCAGGAGAACCTTCGCAACAAGAGCAACCATCCAGATGGCTCAAAGCGTGACGCAGAGGATCTTCCTGGACTGAAGGAGATGACCCTCAAGGCAATCGACGTATTGAACGCCCGGCACGAGGATGATGGCTGGTTCCTCATGTCAGAAGCCGCCAGTATCGACAAGCAGATGCACACATTGGATTACGACCGGTCTCTAGGCGAACTGCTAGAGCTTGACGATACCGTGCGCGCCACGATCGAGAAGCTCAAAGCCCTTGGACAGTTGGAGGACACTCTTATTATTGTTACCGCTGACCACGGCCATGGATTCGACGTCACCGGCTCGGTTGACACCGAATACTTGAACGCACAGGAAGATGATCGCGACAAGCGACGGGCTGTCGGAACCTATCAGAATTCGGGACTCTCGCAGTACACCGTGCGCGGCCCTAACGCCTTGCGGTACTCGGAAGGGGTCCATTTCCCGGCCCGCTGGGATCCGCGCTACACTCTGCATGCCGGCGTGGTGGCGTTCCCCGACCACCAAGAGAATTATGAAGTGCACAAGGAGGGACCTCGGAAGCCCGCAACGAAGCGCAGTGGATCCGACGGCTACTTTGCCAACTACAAGGACGCGGTGACTGGGTTCCTGATCAACGGCACTTTGCCTGTCGATGCGGACCAGGGTGTGCACTCATTGACGGATGTACCGGTGTTTGCGCAGGGCCCTTGCCAGGAGCTGTTTGGTGGCGTGTACAGCTCGGTGGACATCTTCTTCAACATGGCCGAGTGTCTTGGGTTGGCTGACCATGGAAAGGATTAAGCCCTGGCCGTCATTTGTTTTTCTTTGCTGTTTCTGGGGGTGGTGTTAATTTGATTGTTGATTGTAGGACAGCGGGTCATGTACAGTAAAACTCTAATGAGAGATCTCAGATGAATGAAATAAACTTCGAATTTCTGTTAAGCCCCTTAGAGGAATGTTGACGCATGTCCGAGGATTTTCCCCGACGTCATCCTTTTCAACGCGGCCGCTGGTGATGCAGTACTCTGTGCTCCCTGCAGAGTGCGATCGGAGGCTGGGCCATTCTTCTGTACTTTGGTTAAGCAAAAAGAAAGGCAAAGCGCAAGATTCCGTCATCAAGCATCCAACAGGCACTGTCTGCCAGGGCGTTCCGATGTAAGGGTCTCAGTGGATAATTGCCAAGGAAAAGGATAACGTAGGACATAGACTAATAATGTCGATCATTGAGGGACGAAAAGCCAAATCAACCGCCGATCTGCTGCAGAGTGAAGCTGTTTTGTGTGATTGAGGGGTCACTGATGCAAAGTAGCTGGTCGGGATAGAATATAAATCGAAGAGAACTGGTTGCATTGAATTAAAAATTGCTTCTTACTCTTTTTGTATACTCCGTACATTCTTTACGGAATGTTATTTTGAGTAATTCATGTATTTGGAAGGGTTAAAGTTGGTGGTGGTGGTGGTGGCGTATTTTTCTCAAAATAGAATGGGCTTCAATTATCCCGTGATATCGCTCAATACGAACGAAGTCTGGAATTGGTTGGTTTGCTCTGTGTCTGAAAATCAAGGAAGTAAAACAATCAATAGGAGATTTCTCTTTGCTTTTTCTCCTGCCCCAAAACTGGAAAACCTCCATGTACAGGACCTGTTCCTGTGCCTAATGCCTAAGGCAGTTTAGTGGTCTGGTTTGATGATTGATTTCTGGGGTACCAGCAGGCAGCAAGTTAGCCCCGGTATTAATATACGGAGTCGAGCATGGCGGGTAAAAAATTCAGGTCTACCAAACGGATCCAATACATTGACCAAGTGATGATGGGGAGCAATCCGCCACTCAGGAAGCGAGGTTTCTGTTCACCGGTGGTAAATTACAAGGGCTAGGGTAGTGAACCTCGGGAGGAAGAGACGGTCTACATTAGTAGGTTCCTTACTACTACTACCTAGTATGTAATTACTGTAGTCACTCAAGCTATCCATCCCCACGGGATTGACTCAGTGGATCTTGCTCATATGACTGACTGTTCGGGTGCATTGGGAAAGGAACAGGGAAAGCTGTGTGTATGTGAGAGAGAGAGAGAGAGCTCCTTTTGCCGAGCAATTTAATACTAGTAGGATATTACAAATCTACTATATAAATACCCTTGTGTTGGAGGCAGTAATCCCAATCCGGTAGTTGAGTGGATGATGTCGATCTGTATTTTATTACCAGTGGTGGTGTTGATATTGTGGTCGTTATTGATTGATTTACGCTGTCTATTGTTTGTTTGTTGGGGTTGATTTATCAAAGTGTGTTTGATATCTCGATGGTTATCTCTAATATATTGTATTGTATACGTATTAAATTTCTCTCTCTCTCTCTCTCTGTGGATAATCTGAATAACAATAATAAAATCCCAACTCAAGCTAAAATAAACCGAGAAAAACAGAGAAAGAAGAATTACAGTTCCTGTGGGACATCTCTTGTCACTTTCTCTCACTTTCTCTGTGCTCTTCTCCAATGATGGAGAATAAATCTCCATGAATCCACCTCGTTCCTTCCTCCCACCCCCCCTTTTTATTAATTCCCTCCGACGATCCCTTCCACTGGACAGGCCCCAAGGGGCGCTCCGCCGCTTCGTTTCCCGTCAATCAACCATCACTTTACTACTTTACTCTACACAACTCTCTTTCCACTCCTTCCTTTCTACTAACTAGGGTACTAGTCATTTCCCGTTTCTCTCTTTCTTTCCCCTTCGCACGTTTCCTTCCCTTTCTGTTCTTCTTTTCTTCCGCCACACCCCTCCTTGGTTTGGAAAAACACAGAAGATCAAATGAAAAGAGACAAGGGGACTTCGCCATCCACGCAAGCTAAAATACTAGTCTCAACGGTCTAATCCATCTCCATAACTGCATCTCCGAAATCTCCTGCAATAAAAATCCCCCTCCAATCGTCACCGGCCCCCTGACCGACTTCCGGGGCATCGCTGTTTCACAAACCACCGGCTGGGATTTTTTTTATTATTTTCTTGTTTTGCTAGCTCGGCGCTTGCGATCGATTATCGCATTATTAGAGCTCTCCTTTATTTCCCGTGATCGTGTTTTATGCTTCCCCTGTCATCCCCAATCGTCGCTTTTCACTCGCCCATCCTCGTGGACGCATTGCGTGTTCCGCCAACATGAATGCCTCTCAGCAACCTCCCACGCTCTCGTACGCTTATCCACCCGCCATGGCGCTGGGTCCGCAAGGTTCGTCATCCGCCTTTGTCTGGCTGGGCTCGATCGCAGAACGTTTCACATCGTTGCGGGGCCCGACTCCCCTTATCAGTGTTGCTTCATTCCGTCGTCATTTTAGACCGTGTCTGGCCTGCGAGTGCTTAGAGATAAAACTGACATGGATTTTCTATTTCTTGTACAGTCTCCCCGGTTCGTCAACCGTCGCCACAAGTCCCAGGGGTGAATCTGGGCTCCAACAACCCCTTCAGGAACCGTGCTCTCTCACCATCAAACTCGATTGCCTCAGGCAGTCGCCCAGAACGACCAACCTCGACGAATCCTTTTCTCGACGATTACGGACCCCTGTCGCCACAGTCGGCGCCCACTGGCACTGGAAGCATCATCTCCCCCATCGATCGGTCCGATATGACGAACAATACGCGCGATCTCTTTGTATGTCTCCTATCGATGCCACACCACCCAAACGGATCTAACTGTATATCTTTCTCGCATAGGAAAACCTCTCACTCAACTCCAATTCAGCCCCTCAACAAACGGGCTACCGACCCGCTCCGTCTCGCCCCGATCGGCCTTTGCAGAATGGTGGTGCTTCGAGCGGTCACCGCCCAACCACGTCGAGGGAACGTCCGGAGCGCCGGGGGAAAGATCCGCTAGACATCTTCGCTGACCCGCCGAGTGCAGGCCTGCCGAGGCCCCGGGACCGTGATCGCCGGCCTCGTCGGAACTCGGAGTCGTCCATTATGGAGCGTCCCAAGCTGCTCGACCCAGAAGACGAGCGACGCCGACGGGAGAGGAGGCGGCGGGAACGGGAAGCTCGTCATCGAGACGGCAAGTCTCGTTCCTCGAAAAAGACCAACTACCAACTTGACATTATTGACAAACTCGATGTGACGAGTATCTACGGCACTGGAAGTAAGTGGTCCCACCTGACATGGTACTTTATATCTGAAGCATCCGACTAATTTGTGGGTAGTGTTCCATCACGATGGACCGTTTGATGCGTGCAACCCGAACCGTAACCGCAAGGGCTTACGCACAGCCCCCATGCAAGCCTTCCCTGCAGATTCTGCCAACATGGCCTTAGGAGGCTCTGGTCCCGTCAACCAGAACATTAATCTGGATCTGTTCCACGGAAGATCGGAGCAAGGTTATAACGATTATGGCGCAGTCGAGACTCGTAAAACAGAAGGTGTGAACTTCGATCCGACCTCGCGGATCGAACCGGTGCATGGCGAACAGAGTATGGGATTAGGAACCAGTACCTTCTTGGATGGGGCTCCCGCCAGTAAAGCTGCCATCCAACGCCGTGAGAGCGAGAATGATCAACAGATCAAACAAGGGGCGGGAGGTCTGCAGCGGAAAAAGAGTTTGGCGCAACGACTCCGCGGGGTGGGTAATCGCCCATCCAACGGCCGCGTGGTATCACCTGAAGCATCCTATATGGCACCCGCGGGTTCCGGTAATATCGGAACGATCAAGGCCAACGAGAAGAACCCGTTCTTCCAGGATTACGACGATGCGTGGGAGAAGAAAGGTGCTCGGATCGCCGAGGAATCACAAGGACTGGGACGAGCTCGCTCTTCTAGCAGCCCGAAGCAAAGTTCCGGCCTGGAACGGAGACATACAGAGGACCGATCATACGGATACGACGAGGGTCGTAATGCCAACGGGGGCGGTGGTGGCGGCGGCTTTATCAATCGGATGAAGAGCTTGCGCAAGCCCCGTCCCGAGAGACGAATCAGTGACGACTGAAGGCTTTAAGATGTCCTTTTTATCATCATTATTCTGTACTCCTTGCATTGGGACCGCACGACTGGTCGTTTGGGAAGACACAGATGGAATAATACTGGAACGCATCATTTCACGGCCCACTAGGACACTTTCCCAAAGGTAGATAGCAATGTGGCTTGGTCTAGTACCTCAGGAAACCTTTCATCGATTGACATCAGGATATCATGACTACAATGATACCCTGTGAGTCTGGGAAAGTTCCATTCCCGCAGGAGGGGTGGCAGGGACAGGCGAATACAGGATAGCCTGGGGCTGTCTATGGTGGGTGGTACATGGTTTATTTTATTCACTTGGCAGCGCGGACGAAAATGGACGGCGTTGGTTGATGGTTACTCTGGGGCTGGGAACGGGACTGGTTTTCTGTAGTTTCTATGTGGTTTCTTTTCTATTCAGTTGTTTCTCTCAAATCACATGCTGTATGTCTTCTCTGACTGATAGTTGATCAACGACATTCACTTCCAAATCCACAGGAGCACAACACTGAAGACCCTGAACTCCACACACTGAATGTAAAAATATCTCACTATGAAACCCATAAGAAAAGATTCATCCAAATCAAATCGACCCGAATTAGATCAGGTCAAATGAATCCAGAATCCACACACATTAATGTACCTCGTTCAAATTTCTATTAAAAAGGAAAAGAGCAAAAAAAAAAAAAAAAAAAAAAAAAAAAAAAAAAAAAAAAAAAAAAAAAAAAAAAAAAAAAAAAAAAAAAAAAAATTGATATCATAGCAATCCGAATAAGCCCCCATTAATTAACGTAAACCCCGCACAATTTATATTCACATAAGATCTAGTAAGCCCGAGGCGCAGCCGCCTTAGGGATATAAGGATTCGGCGCAGCAATACCCGCTTTCCGTCTCGACTGAGGCTTAGGTCTAGATAATGTGTACCTGTTTTATAATTGTCAATACCGTATTACTTACAAATGAAATGAAGGCGGGGAAGGAGAGGAAAAGAAAAGGGAAAAAGCAAAAAGGACATACTTGGCAAAAGCGCGAGAGAGAGCCTTCTTGCAGGAAACCTTCTGACTGCCGATGAAAGAGTCGACTGTTACTGCTATTGCGCGGTCGATGTCTTGACTGGAGCAGTATTCCGATAGACGCATCTTGCAGAAGGATTCTGCGATACGCATGATGGCTTCCAAGTGACGAACCTGTTAATGTGTTTGTTAGTTTGCTTTTTATCTGATTTGTAGGGTTTATTTGTGGAAGCTTACGGTAATGGGGTATGCGCCAGTTGCGAGGGATTCGCGACGCATGTCTGCGAAAAGACGGGCAATCTTGTCTTGATCGATTTGGTAGAGCTTCGGGTGGCAGCGTTCACGGGCGTAAAGAATGTATTTGCGAAGGAGTTCCTGGGGGATTTCGCCCTCTTTTTCTTCTTCGATTTTGCGGTTTGCAGCTTCACGAGCGGCGATTTCTTCGGGGGTGAATGGCAGGCGGTTCCCATCCTTATCGAGGCGATAGCCTTCTTCATCGATGCGGTTGCCGTCGCTATCGATTAGGTTGCCTTCTTCGTCTCGCAGGGGACGGGCTGGGTTGGCGCGATGGTGGGATTCTACAACGAAGTTGGCAAGGCGTTCGTCTTCAGCAGGATCCACGAGATCGCGGACGACGCAAAGGATGTCGAAACGAGAGAGAATGGGTTCAGTGAGCTCGACGTTGGCGTTGAAAGGTGCAGTACTGTTGTAACGGCCGCCGATGGGGTTTGCTGCTGCGACAACGGCGCAGCGAGCTTGCAGTGTGGTGACGATACCAGCTTTGGAGATGGAGATTGTTTGCTGTTCCATGGCTTCGTGGATGGAGGTACGGTCTTGGTCGTTCATCTTGTCGAACTCATCGATCAGACATGTACCGCGGTCTGCAAGAACGAGAGCACCACCTTCCAGAGTCCATTCGCTGGTTAGCGGGTCGCGGCGCACGCTGGCTGTCAAACCGACGGCACTGGCACCTTGACCCGTTGCAAAGACAGCACGGTGGGCGGTCTTCTCAACGTATTTAAGGAATTGAGATTTGGCAGTACCGGGATCACCGAGCAGTAGGACGTTGATATCTCCACGGATCGACATCTTTCCTTGGGCTTGCTTGCTAACACCACCAAAGAGGGAGAGAGCGACGGCTGTTTTCACGTCTTGGTGGCCGTAGATACTGGGAGCAATGGAACGGACGATCTTGTCCACGATTTCTGGGTCTCGCGAGAGGGCGCGGATTTCACGCTCATCTTCTTCAGTTAAATGGAAACCAGCCAGCTGGTCGTGAGACTTGATAACATGATTTGCTTCGATAATAGTGGCGAACACAGGGAATCCATTCTTGTTGTTGAGCTGGGCATCGTAGCTGTTGCGGTAGATACCAGTCACTTCAACTTCGTCACCAGGCTTGGCGGAATCAATGAGGTCTGCAAGAAGGATCACTTCACGTTGGCGTGGAAGTCGTCCGGCGGGGACGGAGCCAGGCGATTCTTGAAGAGTCATCTTCTGGTAGTTGCGGTAAACCGTCTTCTCTGAGTTAACGGTGAACGGCCCCTTGGACTGGCAGTTCTGGCAGTAGGAAATCTTTACTTCCTGGCTGGCTTCCTGCTGGAACGGCCCCAGAGTGATATTACATTTGCCACAAACGAACATGATATACTTCAATTGCGGGAACACACCACTGCGGCGCGTGACGACACCAGTGACACGCACAAGGGAGTTGAGATGAGACTGGCGCAATTGACGGAGAGTACTGATGGTAGGAAGATCGATGATGCGAACGTGGATCTCATTATGGATGTCGTGGTACTGGGGGTAATGGAATAATGTGACATCGAGAGCAACTTGATCGAAAACTTTCAGAACCTCGGTGGGCTCATTGGCCACGAAGTATGCCAACACAGCCCTAGTGCTGGACAAGTGATCGTAGGAGACTTCGAGAGAGGCCGAGTTAACCTCACCAAGAGTCTTGATCTTGTTTCCGTACACCGAAGCACCGGAGTCGTCAGTGAACTCGGTCAAGAACGCCTTGAATTCTCGGTAGATGGAGCGCAGGACTTGGGGCTGCAACACCCAGTCTGTGACATTAGGGGCCTTGATATCCATCATCTCTTCCAATGACAGGTCTTCCATGCCACCTTCACCCATATCAATATCTTCTCGGTCCTCGTCGTAGTGATGCCTCCGCCGGCGAGGCTGGCGAGTAAGATCTATGTTTTGGTCATCGTCGTCTTGCAGAAAAGCACGAGGCATGCGACTGCGCCGTGCCAGTTCCCGATCTCTCCTGTTCAAGCGAGCTTCCAGTTGGCGACGTGTGCCTATGTCTAGCTCTTCTTGTTCTTCGTCATCAATGTCGGCTCCCTGATAACGATCGTCTTCTCTGCTCGTGTAGTCTCTTTCGAAGCTGTCGCCGAACAGATCAATGCCCTCTCCTTCCTCTGCCATTTCGTCAAGGTCATCAATATCTTCCAAAAGCTCTGCTTCTTCATCGCGGTCGTCATCTTCAAAAGGAAGCATGGGAGGGGAAGAGGGGGGGGCTACGAAGTCAGTAAGGACACAGAGCAGATTCTTTCTTCATGCTTCTACTTACGACTAGAGGGGGGAGCGATTGAAGATGTTTCATCATCGGGCTCTCTGTCTCTCTTGCGACGGTTCAAATTGCCTAGTCCACGGTTTGCGGCGGTATTACTGGGGCGAAGTGGTGAACTGTGTAGCTCTTAGCCTTGCTCGAAAAGTTGAACAGCAGGGAGAAAAAGAGAGAAAAAATTTCGGGATGGATAAAATGCGCTACATGCAGGATATATTTTGGTACATACCTCATTGTGTGTGTATATTAGTGTGAGGGATTCCAATTTGAAAGAATGACAAATTGAACCAAACCCACAAATGTTTCTGAGTGAGGGTCTTTTTGGTCTGCTGCGAGGAGGAGCAAAGGGAGGGATTCAATCAATCGGTTGCTGGGGCGGTGATGCGTGCGGGTATCGAGATACGCGTCAAAACGCGACATGACGCGTCTTTTCAATTAAACCCGGTTTAGGAAAGTCTATGACTTGGTGCCTGATAATATACCCCAGAGGCCTAGACATGGTCTGGTTGCACTAATGTAGAAGCTCTGGAGCAAGTCTCTACGCGCTATTCCCTTCTTAGGATCTCGCTCAATGAGTGAGACTTAGAATGTTCATCTTTCGTCGTTCAACGTGATTATCACGATGGTGGATATAGTCCTGGAACAGACATACGGTATGATTCGCGATGCGCTTCATAACCGATGTTTCCATGGTTTAAAAGTAAGTAAAATTCAAATCATACTCTCATTATTGATATAAAAAAGAAGTATTTATATGTATATAACAATATAAAATGTAAAGCAAATAAATCACGCTCGGCTCATTACTAACTGCAAACAAAGCAAACACTTAAAGTGCTCTGGCGCCGCGCCGTGTCTGAACGCATAACGAGAGCTAGGCGCAGAACAGTTTTTATTCATCCTACCATCGCTGTTTGATTAGTATACTTATATCTAAATCAGCGGCTCATTTAATTAATATGGATAACTCTGAGACCGTGCCGTCTGATGCCGACCAGACGAAGAACGGCCACAATGCCAGCAACCGGCGCGAGAGCTTCAGCTCGCAGAACTCGCAGACTGCGAAAGAGTAAGTACCCACTCCATGTCAAAGTTGATGAAGAGTACACTCGTGCAATGGGCGACCCAAAATAAACCAATATCTAACAGTTCACTTTAGATTCATCGAAAGTCAGATGCAACTCGAAGCTGATGCACGCGAAATCTTACCTTATGTGAGCATAGCCTGCGATATACCACGACATAACGAACTGACCTTTTAGTCATTCGACTCCTGCACGAAAGATTTAGGGCCATTGCGACAAACTTTATACGCTTGCTTAACCTGCAACCCTCCTCCAAAGACCGCCGATGCGCCGCACACCGCAGCAGGAGTGTGCTACTCCTGTTCCATCGCCTGTCATGGCGAGCACACACTCGTCGAACTATTCAACAAACGAAACTTTGTATGTGATTGTGGTACGACTCGTATACCATCGTCCGCTCCATGCACGTTGCGCAACGACCCAAAGACCGGCGCGAAGGGCGTCCATTCTGAACAAGCGCATCCCGAGAACAAGTATAACCAAAATTTCCAGAACAAGTTCTGTGGCTGTAGCGAGGACTATAATGCGGAAGAAGAAAAGGGAACTATGTTTCAGTGTCTTGGACTGGGAACCGTTGAATCGGGCGGCTGTGGAGAAGACTGGTGGCATCCAGAGTGTCTCATCGGGCTGCCGCGGGATTGGTATAAGGACTTCAAGAAAAACGCGGGTGGGAATGGTCAGATTGAGGATGATGAAGAGACGCCACTTCCTCCGGGATTTCCTGGGGAAGACGATTTCGAGACGTTTCTCTGCTACAAGTGCATTGACTCAAATCCCTGGTTGAAACGATATGCGGGAACGGTGGGCTTCCTTCCCCCTGTGTACAAGGAAGGTGGATTGTCCAAGACTGTCGGGCCTACACCAGATACTATAACTACAGATGTCAGAGAAGAACAAACCACTAATCCTAAGAAACGGAAAATGGAGGATGAGGAAGAAGGCGAGCCGACTACGAAGCGGACCAAGGAAGATACTGAGAATACCCCCTTGGACTCGAAGCCAGAGCCCAACCCAACACCAAAGGAAGAGCTTACTCAACCCCCTTCACTGAAGAACAAGCATGACTCTCTCCCCGACCCTGTTCCTTCCGGTGCATTCTCCTTATTCTTGAAAGAAGACTTCCGCGACCACTTCTGCCGCTGTCGCGACTGTTACCCCAATCTCTCCCCGCACATCCAGTTGCGTGAAGAAGAAGAAACCTACGAGCCCCCGCTCTCTGAGAATGGGGAAGCCAATGGTGGTGGCAGCACTGGCACCGGTAGCCTCCTTGACCGCGGTGAAGCCGCATTGAGCAACATCGATCGTGTGCGAGCCATCGAAGGCGCAATGGTATACAATCATCTGCGTGACAAAGTTAAGGAGTTTCTAAAGCCATTTGCGGAGACGGGTAAGCCTGTGGGTGCGGAGGATATCAAAGCTTATTTTGAGAAACTTCGCGGCGATGAACAACACATTCAAGATGCTGCTGGCCAGGCGTCTGCACTCTCAGGTAAGGACGATGATAATGATAATGATGAGGGGAACGGACGGAGAGAACAGAATGGTACGTATAGAAACAACCCTTCGTTTTCTGGAATGATCGCTAACTATGAATCAGGCTACTAAGCCGTTTCATTTGATGTAATTACTTCTGATCTGAATTTCTTCCAATTTCTTCTCATGTTGTTTGACATTTGGCACTGGGTTTTTGGCGGGTAGGTAACAGGGATATTGGGCGCGAATGTGGGAATGTATCTTGATTGTCTAGTTTACTACATCATAGGTAAATCTTCGGTATATCCATTTACAATGAAGATGACGCTGAACGGCTAACATTCTACTAAATGTTCTATATTTATCTTATATACTGTAGATATGCTAAATTTACCATGCCATCTCGGCAGCAAAACCAAACGAACGCCAATGCAAAATGCGACAAATGAAGTGTATGCAGATTCAAAAGCCCGCAATTACTCCCGCTCCAAAGTATAAATAGGTTCTCAACGTATCGACGATAATTAGGTTATTCTTTGAGCCGTTTCGAGGCGCGTCCCATTAAACTATCATCTGGTAGCCCGCTCCGCTTTGTACCAGGCAGGCTTCCAGACCGGATATCATTGTCATCCTGAGTGACACGACGGTGTGGATATTTCCCTTCAAAGCCCTCGAAGCAGTTGGCGGAGATAGGGCCTCCGTTCTTAAAGTATGGGTGCTCTAGTGCCTCCTGCGCAGTTATCCTCTTGGTAGGATCGTATTCGAGTAATCTCGACAACAGATCATACCCATCTGCCCCAGGGGTTCCGGCACCGGACGAGGTGGCATACCCGCCATTTTTCAAACAGCTTTGATACCAGCCTTCCAGGTTCGAAGACCGGGGAAAATGTCCAGGAGCACGTGACATGGCTAGTGACTGGAGTTGGGAGTATTCGGGCATCGACACTATGCCTGGCCAAATGTCTTTGGTGGGGAGACCCATGATTTCGATGATTTTCATCATTTGATTACGTTGAAATGGCACCGTTTTCTTGCTGTCCATCTTGGCCTCCTCGCCTTTAAAAATGGGGCGGAGGGATAAAAGCTCTGCAAAAATGCATCCGACGGCCCAGAGATCGACAGCTGGGGTGTAATGACGACTACCCATCAGTAATTCTGGGGCACGATACCAAATCGTGACCACGACCTTATCGCCCGAGAAAAGAGAGTTGAGGGGTTTGTAGAAGAGACGAGCCAGACCCAAGTCTCCGATACGAATGGCGCCACTTGACGTGACCAGAATGTTGGCTGGCTTCAGATCTCGATGCAATACCCAATTAGTATGGAGATAGAGTAGACCGTTGAGAAGCTGAAACAGAATCGACCTGACCATTGGGGCTGGAATAGCATGTCTGTGTGGTTGTGTATGATGATGAATAATCTGCAGTAAATCATGTTCTGTATATTCGAAGACCATGAAAATGGCCTTGTCCTCAAGGATAATCTCTTCTAGCTGTACGACATTGGCATGATCCAGTTCGGAACACAGGGCCATCTCCCGAATGGCAGACTGTGAGAGGCCGGTGTATTGGATGATCTCTCCCTCTTTATCCGGTTTAAACCTGCGACTGGTCAGCGATCCGAGACTAACGGAAGAACGGATGGATCCTGCCAACTTTTTGATTGCAAATTCACCCTTCTGACCATTTTTGCCAAGGGCTTTGTAGACTCGTCCGTAAGTGCCGCTACTAATGAATCCCACGATGTGGTATTTGTCGCGGACACGGACTTTGCTGGTATATCCAGTTCCAGACGGCTTCCTTGGATCTAGGTGCTCTTTAAACATCATAATAGCGTTAGCTTCCAATAGTCATTTTCCACAACATGTAGATCAACAGTCCAAATACTATAGCATAGTACCGATAATAATTTTCAGGGAACACAAAGAGTCCTTAAGAGGGAAACGGTATTTGGAGTTCTTTCAATCCAATGCCAGTCAGGGAAAGCCATTACCACGTGGATAAAACCCGCCGATAGAGTTGAAGAACGGGAAGTTCCTTCCAAACATGATGAAAGAAAAATGCAAAGAATATCTTGGTGGACAACTGATCGCCTTCTTTGTGAAGGTGTAATATAGAAGTGGTACTATAGGTGTTCATACGATTGCAGACAAGAATATCTTTCACTCAATCAGGGTACATCGTGACATGGCAACCCTAAAAAATAAAAGAAAATCGATTGAACAAAGAGAATGAAAAGGTACCAGGTTATAAAAAAAAACGAGAATTATAATAGAAGATAATAATAACTGATATTACCATCAACAGCGGCCTGCAGGTTCTTTTTCAGAGACAGACTCTGGCTGACGGTGGCCGCAGTGGGCCTGGACGAAGCAGCAGTTAACGGGCCGGAGGATGAGGGTGGGTTTGTCAGACTCATGGAGAGAGAGGCAAGAGGCGAATGTGGAGATGGCCGAGGGTTAGCTTCAATAAATCAGGAGACAGACCCATGGAACCCAGTGGGTGGTGTGGTGCGAACAGTGCACGAAGATAAAAGGGAGGTACGGGGGGTCAGCTCCACCGCTAGACCATGAGACCTGCAGGATGCAGTAATATTGGTGATAGGGAGAAAATGGTATGGGGATCTGAGAAGCTGAAAACACAATCGCTGATTTGTATTTGTTTGCATCTGGATTTAACTAACGTAACCGGCAAGCACCCTGCGCATGTAAGCACCCTGCGCACCACCCGCAATATGAAAAATTAAAACGATTAAAACACCATGAATTCAGATTTCTATATAAAGATGAGTAGTTCTATCGATTCGGGTAGTTCGTAATTTTATGGCCCTGTACATTACAGCCAGAACATCTAGGGGGTGCGCGTCTAGCCCCCGATTCAGTAGGTTGAGTTCCCTCTACTTGAATAGCTTTATCTGCCTGAGCCCTGCGCTCTATATAGATTCGGGCGTCAGATACTGACATACCCCCTTCAAAAGTAATTTGCTTAGTAGAGCGCTTTCGCTTTTTAAGCTGCTTTTCATATAAAGCCTCATATCGCTTAAGCTGATGCTTAAATAGTGTCACATCATTTATAGCTCGTTCAGCGCCTTTAATCATTTGATTTAGGTAGGCTTTAGTAGGTGAATCGGGACTGCGAGACCGATTTTTAAGCAGCCTTTTAAGTGTAGATTCTGACTTTTTTAACTGCTTAACTGTATGAGGCGTTTTAGGCGCTGAACTGCCTCGGCTGCTTGGTCTACTACCTGGAGGTGTAGGCGTATTGAGCTGAACTGCCAGCTGAGATAGAACGGATTCAGGATTCAGAGGAACTAGGCCGGTAGCTCTAAAAGTACTATAAATATTGCTTCTAGTAAACGCCTGCGTACGAGCTTCCGGATAGGCGTCTAAAAAGTTAAGTTTATCGATATGATGAAGCCCGCAGCGCATCTTAGATTTAACGAGGCCACCGTACGCGCGTTTTAAAGGTGAGAAAACAGCAACATCAAGCGGTTGAAGTCTATGAGAAGCATGCGCAGGCATACAGATCGGTATAATATCGTTTTCCGAGCATATTTGATCAAATTGAGGCGTCAAATGACTATCGTGGCCGTCTAAAATAAGTAATCGATATCGTCCGATAGATCGGCCTGCAGTGGCCGGTATAAAATGACTTTGCAACCAACGTAGACCTATTTTATTACTCGTCTAGCCGTTAGGACTAACCTCGATCCTCCAATCAGATGGAATCTTTCGATCCTTATACCAGGCCTCCATATGCACTTTGCCTTTGAATATAATGTAGGGAGGTAGAGCCCATCCATTAGAACTAATACATTCTATAGAAGTGACCCATTCCCGGTTACCTGGCTGCAATAAAAACGGCTTGCCTGGCGTACTAGACCTAGTAATTACTTTGGCAGTAGCAATTAGGCCTATTGCAAACCCGGTTTCATCGAAATTATAGATATCGGATGAGGCTATACCGTACTTTTGAATAGCCTCATTTACCTGTTGAAACTAGGCATTTAAAATCTTCGGATCTTCTATTTTAGCACGTTGATAGTTATATCGACGTGCAAAGCAGGTCTTAAGCTCAGGCGTACGCTTGATAAAGTTAAATACCCATTTTTCCCCTACAGTTGTAGGGGAAGAAGTAGTATCTCGTTTTGAAAGTAAGATATTGGCCATTTCTCGTACGTATGCTGGCCGGGGCGGTGCACCACGTTTATCTAGCGATAGAATCCATTCTTTAAGCGATTCCTCTTCACTAATAGTCAATTTATGAGTATTGACGCGTCTATCGTATATAAATGAGGCCCCTTTTAGGCGACTGCGCAGGGTAGATTCAGGAAGGTTAAATATCTTAGCTGTCTGCCTAAGGCTGCTAAATTCATTGTTTTTCAAAGCTGATATAGCCAGTACGATTCGGCCTTCTTGCTCAACGCGCGATTTTGATGATTTAGGCATTTTTGACAGTATGGTTGGTGTTTGAATTGTCTAAGAAATTGAGGCGCGTGAGAAACGCGGGTGGTGCGCAGGGTGCTTACATGCGCAGGGTGCTTGCCGGTTACGTTATGCCCTGGATGGTTAGTCAGCAATCCTAGTGAATTGACCAATGAGTTGGTTCTTCCACCCCCATAACCCTAGGTGCTCAGTAGTCAAATCCATCTAACTGTATCCCTATCCAAGGATAATTGAAGTGACATTGCATGATAAGAGCATTTTTTCTTGGTT